TCCCTACAATTTTTTATGATTCCAGTAGTTTCTAAGATAAGTAAAAAAGAAAGACAGAGGGGAAGGCCCCAGGTGAACCAGGCATCGCAACCGGAACCAGCGAAGCTGATGCCGGTCACGATGTCCGAGCCACAACCCGCAAGCCTCTGCCAACCACTCTGCCTCCCAATCCCATGCCTTTCAATGGCTGTTTTAATTATTGTTGTTATAAAATACACAGTGTTGATTAATATAAATGTTTACAATTTTGGATGCAGGCACATGCCTTTGTGTATTAAAAGGAAGGGACGGGTGGACGAAGGAAAAGGCAGGAGCGACGCAGAGGCCATGGCAGACAGACCAGCCATCCACCACAACCTGAGCCCCCTCTTCAACAACGCACATTAAATTGTGCTGCAAAGTACCTTATACCTTTGCAGTGGCCTAAAGGAAACAGTGAGGGAGTGGCAAGCCACATAAAAGAAAATGACCAAGTACTAAATATACTTAAATCTAATTACTACCTAACTAAAACTAAACTAGTGTACACTGTTCAAAATTTCATGACCATTTTAACACCAAATTAACACCATACATGGTCTATATCGATACAAACCAAAATGGTGTTCGTTGGCTGGTGTAAATTCAAATACTAAAATGGTGTTAATTTAACTTTCACACAGTATTAAAATAAATTTTACCTGGTGTAAATTGAACTCCTTTTCAGTGTTAAATATTATGTGTTTGTGGTCAAATTAAATCATACTACACAGAAAAAAGGAAAAAAAAGGAAACAGGAAGTTCCTTGACACATTACTAGTATATTACCAGTGGTATTATTAAAGAAAATGGAACCTTCAACTCGCTAGAGATAATGTTTTTAGTGCGTTCCACTAACTTAAAATACTTCAAGTATTGAAAGCTGTTTCCACCTATTTAAGGTCTCTTTAGTATCGAACAACTTGTAGTGTCACACCAAAGCAAAGGACCACCTGAGTTTATATATTCTTTATGTAAGTCAACAGAGGCGAGATTTAAGAACATCACGTGATCCACACCGCCTTTGCCGCGATCGGTACACATTTTCAACCATAATTCATGGTGTTAAATTAACACCACTTGGTGTTGGATTTTGACACCATTTTAAGATTACTTTTTACACCACAGATATTTTAAACAGTGTAGATCCCAATGGCTGGGGCGAGCCGCCGGCCCAGACACCAAGGCACGTAGCGGCACGAAGTGAGGCTGCGGTCCCCGGTGCCAACGCCGACGGACCGCCACCAAGTCATGGGGTAGGGAAGACCATGAAACACCTGAGGTGGTCTGGCCTGCCGACAGCGGCCCAGACACCCTACGCAGACGCGAGCGCACAGGCGTCGTTGTCTCTGTCGGCAGTCCAGCGCACAGCAAAGAAGTCGAGGCGAATCGGCAGTTTAACCTCTTGCTTAGGAGGGTGGTGGCAGTTTAGTCTCTTGCCCCGGAGAAGTAAACCAGATGTTGGAGGTAGATCGGTATCAATGTGTAGCCAACTAACCCAAAGGGTCAGCCCGTACTTGAGCTCGATGCACAGGAAGTGTATCACACAAGGCGAAAGGTATCAGGAGGTTGGTGTTGCTGGTGTCCAGTAGCTCCATGAGGATTCGGTCCAGCGGAAGCGGCTACTCAGACAGCTTGCCGGCAAGATCGATCCTGGAGCGGTCGTATGCAGGACAGTGGTATATGCGATGTGGTGGATCGTCGATGGTGTCGCATGTAGGGCAGTTGGGGCTGTCAATGCTTTCAACCATGTGGAAGTGGCGCCGGAATCTTCCATGGCCAGTAAGGACAGAATACAGAGGCCTAGAGTATGGTATATTAAGTGTCTGTCTGATCGCCAATGAAGGAATGAATAAGTGTGTTGTGCGGCCTTTGGGATACGTATCCCACGTTGTCTGCCATGCGTCCAAGCTGGCCTGGTCGAAAATGAGCTTGGCTTCACTCAAGCTAGGATATTCATTTGGATCCATCCAATGTATGCCCAGGTGGTGAACTGGATTTCTTTTCCTTATGTCTGATGAGGCCATTCTTGCAGAGAGTTCTAGGCCAATGGATTTAATGTTGGCTAGGACGCCTGCGGCTTCCGCCGAGACGTCGCTGTAGCAACCGGTGCGGGCGCATAGCGCTCTGCAAGAATTCAGAAATCTGTCAGCTCTTTGGTAGTGACACTTGTCTTTCCAAACGTTAAATGAATTTCCCACTATTGGGACGACCGCCATGTTGTAGATGGAAGTGAGGCCATCCGAGGGAGGAACCCAGGCTTTCGCCAAGGGCCTACGCAGGTTTGCAAATAAGCTCTTGGCTTTTAGGCTAACAAGTTTTATATGCTCCTGGAAGTTGAGGTGCGAGTCTAAAGTGATGCCTAGGTATTTAGCCGATGTTAATCCTCGGATAGGGTTTCCATTTATGCTTATTGTAGGCCTCCTGACACATTTGCCACTAAACACGACATAGTTGCACTTGTCTATAGATAAGCTAAGTTTATTGTCCGCCAGCCACGAGCTGACCCTCGAAAGGGCGCAGTTGGTGTATTGTTCAGTTTGTGCGCGGTTACCCGCGCTGATAGATATAGCGATGTCGTCTGCATATGCATACGTTTTAGTGCTCGCACCCAGTGGGATACGAAGGAGACAATCGAGGGCGGCGTTCCACAACAAGGGCCCCAAGACAGAGCCCTGTGGGCAGCCACTGGTTAGGATTTTTGAAACCCTAGCAGGGCCCAGCTCGAAGCTGGTGACGCGGTTGTTTAAATAGCTTTTAATTAAGTTTATTGTGTCAAAGAATATTCCTTTGTTAGTCAACGAGTTTATGACCGTAGGCCACCACAAGTTGTCGAACGCCCCCTTGATGTCTAGAAAGCAAGTTAGTTTAAACTTGGAAGTGTCAGATTTCAGGTGATCAGTGAGATCCGTAATAGCGTCGGTCGCTGAGCGGCCCTCCCTAAAGCCGTATTGATTGGCGTGATGGAAGGATGATTCCTGTAACTCGGCGAATAGATTCCTTTTCACGATTCTTTCAAGCAGCTTACCCAGCACCGACAGAAGGGTGATGGGTCTAGTACCCTTGAGTGGGTTGGACGAAGGGACGGAGCCTCCTTTAGGAATGAGAACTAGCTTGCCAATTTTCCAGGTATTAGGAAAATAGCCGAACCTGATACAGTCGTTGAATAGTCTGCTGGTGTAGTTCGCAATAGCAGGTCCTACCACTCGAAGAACGACAGGATACACGCTGTCGGGGCCAGGAGCCTTTTTGGTGTTAACATGTTTGAGAAATTCTAGAGTTTCGTCTTCAGTAACGTATAGAGGTTCAGTCACCGGAATAGAGCCAGAAAGGAGATCCGTGGTTTCTCTAAAGTGGGCCTGGAAGGGATTATCCGTTCCAGGATCATCGTCCGTGATAAAGTTATCCAAGACGGCGTTTGAGGTGTCAAAAAAGTTGTTTGTAAGTGATCCGTCTTGTTTGCGGATGCAAGAAATAAGCTTTAGAGAGCTTGTAAAGCAAGCTCCACGGGTTCCTTTCCAGCTCCTCAACCACGTAGCAGCTCCACGAAGTAGAGCGAGCCTTGTTGATGTGTGTTTTGAATTCTCCAACAGTGTTGTGATAGATTGCTCTGAGCGCGCCCTTAAGGGGCTCGACCGCTCTTTGAAAGGCTTTCCTTTGTTTGTTAATTCTGGCCCTTAGAACGTCTAGCCTGTCGTTCCACCAAATGGGTTTGTTGGTAAAGCGTTTGTGCTTTTTTAAAAATCTGTCGCCAATGGAGGCGAGCAGATATGTCAAGTTATTGACCCTTTCGTCAATTGCCAACGTGCCTGGGGACCAAGCATGAGACTCGAGGGCATCTATCCCACGTATAGCCTGGTCTATCGCCGAGTTCGCGTCGAATCCACTCAAGGATCTTGTCCATGTGAAGGCGTTGTGTAGTGCTTGGTCGAAAACCCTAATCCTTAAGGATATAGTCCTGTGATCGCCTGGACAAGTGTCCGCGGAGACCACTCAGCCTGAGATCAGGTTCAGCAGGACGACGGAACATAAAGTTACGTTTATATTGCTCTCCCCCAAAGGGGAGCTATACGTTGTGAGATCAGATGAAGTGTTAAAGACATGTAAGTTGTTCTCGAGAGCAAAATTCTCCACAATATCGCCGCGGTGATCCAGCTGGTCCGAGAACCAGACCGGATTCTTGGCGTTTGCATCCATGGCGATCAATACTGGAAGGTCGAGATCACATATGTTGTTCGTGACCAGCTTCATCTACTCGCAGAGCTCCCCCCCTAGGGGGGCAGTAGATGCTGAATAGGGCAAAGGACAGACCGCCACACTTAAATATGGCGGAGAGTGTCTGTGTTGATGCAGGCAGTCGGAAGTACGTGTGCAAGCGGGTTAAGTACCACGATGCACGACCTGAAGGCGTCTCCAGAGGCGGAGATTACCCTAAAGCGGCCAGTGGTAGGGATCGCGAATTTATTAGAAATTCTTGAGAATGTGCAATATGGCTCCTGTACAAGAACCACATCTTTATCCTTAATATAGGGAGAGTTAAAATAGAATTGAGTTGCAGTTATTGAATGGTGTAAGTTTATATGGCAGATGTTTATTTTCCTAATTTTGAGGCCCGTAATCGGTGTCCTCAATTAATGCCTTAACTCTCCTTGCATAGGATGCACACTTCTCAGATCCGGGTACGTGGTTGAGCTCACTTAGTCCTCTAACATTAGAGCAAGAGGCGCACTTTAGTTTAGCTGGGACGTCTTTGTCCGGGCAGTCCTTCATGTCGTGCATCTCGGCACAGTAACCGCACTTGGTCGCCTCCGCCTGGCACTTGGCCGATGTGTGTCCGAACTTAAAGCACTTATGGCAGATGGTAACCCTGGTTCTGTCCTCCACCCTGCAATTTTGCCAGCCTATGCCTAGGTATTTTAGTGATAGCAAAGAAAGCCTGAGGGCAGGGGAGACCTCCACGGCCCAGTGCACAAGCTTCTGACCCCTCGGGCCAAACTTATGCACCGGGTTTATGTCCTCTGCATTAGATGTGTCTACGTTATTTTGGTCGATTATTGCCTTCGCTAGGTTCTCCTTCGTTAAGAACGAGGGAACACCAAAGATAGACAATCTCGGGAGTCTCTTTTTTGGTGAAGATGCCTTGAGCTTTAGGGAGGCCCACTCAGGGAAATCCAGTAGCTTGTTTACATTGGAGTCGTGAGATTCAATCACGACTCCCTTGTTTCTTGCGTAATAGACTTTAGATGGCGCGAAGCCAATAGTTGCAGGGTTAATTTTGGCGAGAATGCTGTCTTTGACAGCCTCGGAAGACGCAAATTCTTCGGGGTTGACAGGGGATATTTCCACCTTGTGAATAGCCTTCGTGGAAGCAGATTTCTTGCCAACTATCTTAACCCTGGAAATGCTGGAGGCGACGTTGGCGTATGACGCCGCAGGAGTTGCGGCTGGAATGGGAGGCTCGGAAGTCAATTTGGCCGACAACTTCGTGATTTTCTTAACTGTGAATTTAAGGCCTTGAAGAGAGTTTGAGTACACTCGACGGCCTTAACAGATTTATTAAGGTTAGAACAGTCAGTTTTTAACTGGTTGAAAATAGCTGCAATAGTGCGGAGAAGGTCCTCTTTTTTGGCCTTTTTGCCACCGCCGGTGTTCAGGTATTTAATACCTTCGTCAACGGTTTCCGTTAATTTATTCGTGAAGATCCTTTGCAGCTGAATCAAGAAGTCCGAAACAGTTTTAGCAGCGTCTTCGACCCCTGCCGGCTCCAGGGGAGCGGCAGTCGCGTCTTGGTCGTCGACGCTTTTGGCGACTTGTGATTCAGCGGTCGAGGCAGATGAGCCTGAACCAGCTGAACCAGTGGACGAGTCTAGAATTGAGGAAGAAGTATTTGGGCTCTTTGACTTTCCGCTCATGGCTGAAAGAATCAAAGAACGCGCCAACAAGGAGGGGGGAGATGAGCTTAGGCGCAGAAGCCTTGGTGTTAATACAGGGGGGTACCAACCCCCTGCTGTGTCTCTTAGCCGTTAACTGGTAACCTGAGAGTGTGAGGACTCAGGTAATGCGTGTGCGTTGTCACACGATTAGGCCTAAAGCCTTGCTGCCAGTACGTTCGTGGCCCGCTAGTAGCCCGCGAGGAGGGGGACACTTCACTTTAACCAGAAAATAGAGCACTATAGAAATAAGAATAAGTCTAATGTGATCTACTAGCAATAATCGCACCTCGGATTTACCTCATTGGTTACGATAATGCTCCTGCGCAAAGATCTAAGATAAGTAAAGCAAAATTTTCAATCAACTCTGAAGCTAGCTTTAGAGTGGGAGTAAAGTGGCTATTTTCAACCGATACTCGCACTCCAGCATGCATGCAAAATTTCGCGCTGAATTTCAAATAAGCTGGCGCTGCGATTGGACAATAAAAATGTCAAAATTTGGGGTTATGTAAATTATCTTTACGATTTTTGGTGTAGTTTATTTGTTAGGGTCAAGGGGGTAAATGTAAACGAATCTGCCAAATTTAAAAAAATTTAGTTTTTAAATGTGTGGCAAAATTTCTCTATATTAAATATTTTATCAGGAACTTATTTACTATTTTGTTTGGACCTTTTATTTTTGAAAATACCAAAAAAAATATTTAAAATATCAATCAAAAAACAAAATAAAGTCAATTTAAAAAAAAGTTGTCACTGTTTACTTTTACCCCTATTGTATTGTGGTAATTGTAAACGGCAACTATAAAAACAACTTGAACAAATGAGAAAATTTGTGGGGGAATATTAAACTATTTCACATGATTATTCATGTAGAAATTTATTTAAGAAATTTAATATATTGCCAGTCCCATGCGTTCAAATTTTAGAATTATGTACATACGTATTTTTAAATAAAAGTAAATTTTCAATGAACTGTGATGTCCATAATTTTAATACACGAAATAGAAATGAGAATACCTTTTAATCGACTAAATTTAGGTAAAAAGTCTCCAAACAGTTTAGGAATACATATATTTAATAGACTTCCTTTGGAAATTAAAAACTCAAAATCTGTTCACATTTTTAAAACACCTTTGAAGTCATATTTGTTGTCCAAATGTTTTTATAGCTTGAATGAATTTTTTATAATCTAGCTAAAGTTGTTAAAATTTATTTATGTACATTATGAACCATTTTGTAATTTCTTATGTATTATGTTTGTCTATTTCAAATTTACCTTGACGTTTTCTACACATGTATATGTCTTCTGAAATAAAGCCTATTATTATTAGTATTATTATTATTATTACATTTAAATTACTGAATTATAAAATGCGCTCCTATGCTCGCTGCGATGTCAAAATGCTGATGATAAAGAATTCATTGAAAACACCAAATTTTTTGGTGTATTTCTAGATTCTAGATATTGATTATGTATGTATCTGTCCTCATCAGTATCCAGTGCTGTGCTTAAAACAGCCTATTTTTCACTTTGCCACTCATTGCTGTCATATTCAATACTAACATGGGGCCAAAGTCCCAGCAGTAGTCGCATTTTTTCTCTTCAACGTAAAGCTATTCGCATCATAACTAATCTTAACTATAGAGATGATTGCAAAATAAAATATATTGAACAAAAAATTTTAACTTTCCCCTGCGTTTTTATTTATTTTTATTTATGAAACTCTAATCTATATCAAAACAAATTTAAGCAATCCCTAAATGTCCTTCACTCATATCAAACAAGAAATAAAAACCAATTAAGACTTCCTTTGTTCAGATTGTCAAAATCTCAAAAATTTCTTGATTATATAGGTCCTAAGCTATTTTCTAAACTGCCAGATAGCATAAATACGTTGGAATTAAATAAATTTAAGCATAGGGTAAAGACCCTGCTAATTTTCAATGCTTTTTACTCCATTTAAGAATACCTAGATTTTAAATTTTTAAACCAATGCATTATAATGCATTATAATGTATTAAATAAAGATTTTAGTGTAGGTCACTTATCATCTTTAAAATATTCTTTATATGTATATGTTTTTCTATTGCTTATATGTATTTAGTTGTATACTTTTATATTTTTATTGTAGATATGGGTATGTTTTTAAATAAAAATACGTACATAAATATCTTTTATACAATTTATTATCTTTTAAGAATAAATTTATTCTTTGTTACACACATTAATTTAAAAATATCGCATTTTAAAATAAATTTACCATAAAAAAATCTATCGGTTCAAATTGTTCTCTTGATCGGTTCAAATTGTTCTCTTGTTCTTCCCGTTCTAAAACTGTATAAGTCTTCTCTCGTGTCAAAAATTTGTTCATTGTCGTGACTTTCAAAAAAATCTCCAATATTCATTTCAAAAACAACACTACACAAACACAAATATAACCTATAAACCGCGATAACTGGTAGTTAATTCACTATCTGACTTCTTAGTAAACGTGAGTTGCATATTGATAAACAGTTTAGCTACTACTTTAATTTTATTTACCAGTTAAGACACTTATCTGGACATTGATAAACCGGCCCTGACTTTTGTAAATACTGATTGTATAATAACACAAAATAAATTATTATTATTATTATTATTATTATTATTATTATTTTTATTATTTTAGGCGGCTGTTTACATTTACCCCTAAAAATTAAAGACGTTATTTTATTATTGCTTTTTATTTAGCTATTCATTAAAACTCTAATTGGGATACGAAAAAAACCTTTTTACTTTTAAAAATATAAACATTTAGATGTATTTTAAAACTTAGGTAAAAACTTAACCTCGGTAACTTTTTATTATTGGTATTGCAAAAAATAAATTGATCTATTGCAAAAAAGTAATTTCTAAAACTGGGATATGTTTTTCAAATTGATAATAGATCCTTTTATTTTTATTGTGGGAAAAGGCAAAACACCTAAAATTTCATCATGATTGACATAACTTACATCGCTTGAATTGACGGCAAAATTTTGTTTAGTTCATCTATAGGTGTTAAGCCTACGACTTCAACATCACTATCTATTATATTTTCGACAGAACAAACATATTTATAGACCGTTGTGTTCCTTTTTCCACCTTTAATTGAACAAGAACAAAACTTCCAGTTTTTAAATCTTGCAGAGATGTCTCCTTTATATTAATTGGGTCTTTATCAATTTTCTCGTCTTCCCAATAGCAAGGGCTTTTGCTGTTATTGAAACAGTCGTCTAAATTATTATTATCTTCGTTACTTGAACTGTCCTCTCCTTTCTTTTTTTTGACGTCTTTATTTTTTTGTTTTTTTTTGTTGGAATTTTCTTGGTTTCCAGTGTTTTCCTTTTTAACTTTTCGGGTTTCGGTTTCTTTATCTTCTTTTCATATGCTTGTTTTAGTCTAGCAAGGACTTCTATATTCGTAAAAATTTCGCCATAGGTTTGTTGTCTTAATCTTGGTATTACTTGCTTTACTATTGTAGTAATGTTTTAATTTTTTTCTGGGGACTTAAAAAACAACTTGGTAAGTGTATGTGGTGCGTCTAGTATATTAGTCGCCATACAAGTAGATGTGCAAGTTTCAGTGGTATGGTGTTTACAAGATTGTTTTTTTTGTTCATCTGTCTGAGTAACCACTCTCACCTCTTGAGACCTGATTGATTCGGCGTGGAGATCATCGGGAATATCTTCAGGGGTATCTGTTTCTGTTTCTCGTAAATCATTAGATTCTTTAGATAAACTGCTTTGATTCTACAGACATTTTTCAAATTGTGGAATATTTTCAGAGGTATCCTTAGAGTTTTCTGTATTTTGTAAAGTATTATTATGTTCTTTAATAATAATAATAATAATAATAATAATTTATTTCCAACAGGAATACACCCAATTACAGGAAATGTTATTAACAGTACAGTAAAATAAACAATGAACAACATTTCAGATAAATTAAAATCTGCCAAAAAAACATTCAATAATATATGATAGGGGACTATTGTGAATATCACATATATCACTTATGCTATTAAACAAAGTACATATTCTAAATATAGGTGAGCATTGCATTACATTAGTTCTTGGTGCTAGAAGATAAAAAGTATCAGAGTTTCTTGAGTTAAATCTTGGCACTAAGAATTTTAAAGAACTTAATAAAAATGGACAGTCTATTTTATTGTTACATAGATTATAAATAAAATTTAACGCAATTCTATTTCTGCGATCCTGCAAAGAATCCAGAGAGAATCTATTTAATAAGTAATTATTGTCTATGCCTCTTTCAGGGTAAATTCGATCCTCCTTATAAGCGAGATACTTCAAGAACTTTCTCTGGACAGCCTCGATACGCTGGACATGACATGCATAAAAAGGAAACCAAATTAAAACACCATACTCGAGCCTAGACCTAATTAGGCAGTTAAACAAAAGCTTCAAAGCATCAATATTATTAAAATCTTTACAATTTCGAACTATAAATCCTAAGGTTTTAGACGTTTGAACAACTATGTTATTTATATGGTTGTTAAAAGATAGTTCATTATCAAAGGTCTTTTTCTTTAGTCTTTCGCTCAAGTAAAGTGTCATTAATGGAATAATTAAACTGAATAAAGTTTTTTTTCTTAGTATATGTTACTACTAAACATTTTGATAAATTTAACATAAGTTTAGATTGGATGCACCAGGAATAAATCAAATCAAGGGTTTTTTGTATCGTTAAACAATCATTCGAATCGTATACTGTTCGATATATTTTAAGATCATCCGCGAAAAGCAACTTATTATCGGGCAGGGTAAATATAAGGTCGTTAATAAAGAGGAGAAATAATAATGGGCCAAGATTGGACCCCTGAGGAACACCGGACGATACTAAATAACAGTCTGATTCAAAACCTTCATACTCGACAAACTGATATCTACCCTGAAGGTAGGATCTAAATAAGTTGAGAAGATTATTGGAAAAGCCGACATTATTTAATTTTTGAAGTAGGACTCCATGATCGATTTGATCGAATGCCTTTTGAAAATCAAGATATATGACATCTACCTGACCTCGAGAATCCAGAGCAGTACTAACATACTGAGTAAGGCAAGCCAAGTTAGTTATACAAGATTTTTTGGACATGAAGCCATGTTGCTCGTCTGCTATCAAACATTTTGTGGCGGCATATACATGATTATATATAATAATCTCAAACAATTTAGAAAAGTTGCATAATATGGAAATAGCTCTGTAATTTTGAATAATACCTGGGTCACCTTTTTTTAAAACTGGGCATACTCTCGCAACCTTCCATAGTTCAGGAAAAGATCCAGTTGACAAGCAGAGATTAAAGATATGTTTAAGTGGACCAACTAGAGCTCCAATGCAATCTTTAACTAAAAAACTAGGTAAACCATCCTTACCCGATGTAAACTTATTATTTAATTTTTTAACCGCTTTAAAAATATCACGATCACTAATTGTATGTACTTGAATAGATAAACCATTGAGCCTAGAGTTATTATAATTTAAAGAGTATTGTGAATCTATATAAACGCTACGAAAATATTCGGCAAAAGCATTAACTATACTCAAAGGATTGTCATGGATTGTCAAATTCGTTTCATCTTTTAATAATCCAGGAATTTGTGAGCGATTCTTTTTCATATTAACAAAATTCCAAAACTGTGATGGATCATTTGATAAGTTAATCTCAGCTTGAGTTATGAAGTCATTGTATGCCGTATGTATTTGATGCTTAAGTGCGGATCTAAGGGAGCAAAATTGCCGATAGTAGAACTCAGAGTTAGACTGTTTCCATTTCTTATGAGCTAAATCTTTTTTCCTTAACAATTTTATAATTTCCTTTCCAAACTAAGGAGGGTAGAATGTTCCTTTTTTACGACAAAGAGGTACGGTTTCACTAATGGTCACAGACATTTTAGAGTAAATCAGGCTACAAGCAGACTCGACATCAGAACAAGAAATAATGTCACTCCAATCAATATTTAAAATTTCGTTGTATAAATGAGGAAAGTTTGCCCTTTTAAAGTTAAATTTATCACGAGTAGTATTCTGCCCAAAATTTATAACATAATCTCTTTTACCCTGAAAGCCTATAGTTAGGGCAGGATGATAAGCATCAGGTACAAACGGTAACGTTTCTTTACTAGTATCACAGATGAAGTTTGCAAGGACTAGATCCAATAGACGGTTGTTCACATTTAAAATATTATTAAACTGATTAAGATTTAAAAAATTCATAAAATTATTAACCAAGCCATTAATTTCATCATTGTTCCTGGACACAAATCCAGGAACATTAAAATCACCAAGTAATAAAACGTTTGCATCACCTAAGTACTCTAGCGACAAAAATATATCAAAAAACAAATCAATATCACTAATTTTAGTATTAGGATGTATATAAATTACAAAAATATAAAAAGTACAAATATTCAATATTAATTTGCAACCTACAATATCAATAGATGGTACATTGGAAGTAAAAATAGATAAATTAAGTGCCGTCGTTTTGATAACGGATTTAACTCCCAACAAAACACCGCCACCTTTAGACAACCCCGTTAAGGCAAAATTTCTATCACTTCTATAAACATTATAGTCATCTGTAAAGAGCTCCGAACTGTTAACATCGTTGGTTAGCCAGGATTCAGTAATACAATTATGTCTTCTCCCTTGCTTCGACGATCGTCCAACTGCTGTTTTAAATTGCGATAGTACTCCTGTTGCCTTAATGTCTTATCGAAAGAGAGTGATATATTTTTAAAATTAGTAGAGTCCTTAAGTTTTCCCGCATTTTTAACAAATATATGGACCATAGACTCACCTAATAAGGATATTTTAATAGGTCTAGGTCGATTACTGTCTTTATCAAATTTACCCAGGCGTATAGGTTTAATATTAGCGATATCATTATTGGGTAGAAGATAATTGAAAACATCCGTAACACAAGTCACATCTGCTGCGATACGAGCTTCTTTATCTAAATCTGATGCTTGCTCCTTGAACCCAAACAAAATGATATTTTTTTTCCTTATATTTCTCTCATTTATCTCTTGAACAATTTCCTCAAATTGATCATTATTGATATTGCTATTTTGTTTTTGAGTTTTAAGACCTTTAATATCCTCTTGTAATTGAATGATTACTTGTTTTAGTGAGTTAATGTCACTACCAATAGACTCGCAGCGCTGACAAGACCAACCAAGTTGTTTTTTGTTGTTTATAAGTCTAACATCAGTAACTGTTAGACCGACGCAACTATAGTAGAATAGTCGTTTACACACACAACAGGAAACACCCTGATGTAGGTCCATAGCTTTGCCACAACAAGAACAAGACATTTTTAATCTACTCACAGAAAAGAAAATAATACTCGGAACAACACTTCGTCGACTAAGAGGTTAAACCAAAAACTAACTTTGAATCTCACAAAAGTCACCGTAAAAAGTTATTATTAATATGCACGATTATTCACTATGCATTAACTAAGATTATAAACGTACTTTTGATAATTAAATCAACATATAACTACAAAATCACCGTTGCACAAAATCTTTTACTTATCTGCAGCGTTGTTCTTGGAAATAATTAGATGAAGTGTTCTAATTCTGCAGATATTCCTCTAACTCACGTTGTTTAAAGCAATCTGTGGGAAATTTTGTTTTGTCGATGGGAAAAATCCCGCAACTACTAAAACCAGAAATAATATTTGTTGGTTTTATTGCATGAGTTCAAACTTCACCCAGTAGCTCAACAAATTCTGTTTTCGACAATCTTCCGGTTCCCTTCCCTATTTGTTTCTTTCCATGCGCGATAAGTTTTTTCTTGCAAAAAGTCTTGACAGGACCAAATACGCATTTGTCAAGAGGTTGTAGCATGTCCGTCAAATGGCTTGGCCTCTTAATTAGAGTAATATTGTTAGACATAGCTTCTTCAACTATACGAACACTAATATGGCTAGCATGCCCATTATTAGCACCGCTGTTTGGTTTGGATCCTTTAATAGTCTTATATTTTTTATATGAGTTATAAAACTCTTTGTAAACCAGGTGAAGAATTGAGGTTCTTCCATCCAACCATTTTTTGATACTGAATACAGGGTTCCAGAATATGCTTTATCAGAAACCCAGCGGGCTTGCACACCAGCGCGCTTAAATACAATGAGAGGAGGGAAGCACTGACCCATCTGCTCCCACATGTGCTGCTTAAATCTTCATAGAATTTGTAAATTATATTGGGCTTCTGGCGTCTTTGCGACATTTTTGTAGGTGTTCGGGTTTTTTTAAAGATAAAAGATTTTTATGCCATTTTAAAAACGAGTAATAGAAATCCACACCTGGGCGGTCATTAACAAACTGGGTTGAGATGTTATTAGATTTTACATACTCCTGAATGAGGTCCAAAAGTTCGTCCTTATCACACGGAAATCCAGATTTTGCGCTAGCCAACAAACAATCGACGATTTTCTTTTCTGTGTCATAAGTAAATGCTGTTTTACGACCTCTCCCTAAAGAATCCATGGCAGTTTTTCTTCCGTTCAGCCTGGGAAATAACGGCAATTGATACATTGTAGTGGTCTTGTGCCTGTCTGTAAGATATATTTAATAATAATAATAATAATAATAATAAATGTCTTTATTTATTTTTTAAATTTCTGAAATTACAAAATTTACATGTCTGGGCGAAGTTCAGATAGATAAAAAAAATTATCCCCTGCTCTACCACTTAACCCAGAGCTACTTAAGAAAACTAATAACAAACATAAAGATCGAATCGTACAGATATCATAAAGTAAAATAAAATATAATTAGATTAAATTAAATAAAATTAAATTACATCAAATTAAATTAATTTAAATTAAATTAAATTAAATGCACACATTTTGGATTATAGAATAAAAATTATATATAAATCAGATAGAAGAGAAAAATAAAATATATTTGATAGCATATTGGGCTTAGGTGTGTCCGGTAAGCAGAAAGTTTTTGTAAGAGATTTTAAATTTTTTAAGGTTTAAATTTTTTAATGAAGGTGGAATAGAATTATAAATTTTATAAATTGAAAAAGTAAAAGACCTTTCAAATAAAGAAGAGCGATGAAAAGGAGGTGAAATTAAGCCTTTAGTTATAACATTAAGGTTGTGCACGTCAGTTCTGAATTTTATTTTATTATAAAGGTAACTGGGAATACAAGTTGTGATTATTCTGTGGTAAAGACACCCTGCCAGCAATGTAAACCTCTTCGACATGTTTAACCAGCCAAGTTCTCTGAGTTTATGTGAAACATGATCATATTTACGTATTCCAAAAATCAAACGCAAGCAAGAATTTTGGACCTTTTGAATTCTGTTTGCAGAGTCACGATCCAAAGCACTAAAAAAAAGCTGACAACCAAAGTTAAAATTTGACAAAACAAGAGAATTACACAAAGTTGCTTTAATTTGCTTGTTTAAGATATGTCTATGGGGGTAAATAAGTCTAAGAGTGTTATAAGCTTTTATAATACAGTTATTAATATGGTATCGAAATCTTAGGGTACTATCCATTAAGACACCCAAATTTTTTGCTTTATCAACAACTGAAAGGGCTTCATTGCATATTGTCAAATTTAAATTTGTTTCTTTGGGAAGTCCAAAAGTTAGAACAAAAGATTTTTTAGCATTAATTTTAAGACAATGATCTGATGAAAATGTAATGATATTAGAAAGATCAATATTAAGTTTTCTTGTGCCCTCTATCAAATCGTTTTTAGAAAAGTTTAAATAAATCTGAGTGTCATCAGCATACATGTGAACGCTACAGTATTCAAGATATAGTGTTAAATTACAAGTGTAAATAATAAAAAGCAAAGGTCCCAGAATGGACCCTTGTGGAACCCCAACTGTCACAGCCAGAGGATCAGATACTTTAGTGCCAATTCTAACCTTCTGAGTACGATTACTTAAGTAACTCTTTATTAAAGCCAATGCACTTTCCCCCAACCCTAGGTATTTTAAAATTGCAAGCAACAATTGATGGTTAATCGTGTCAAAAGCCTTACTGTAATCCAAAAGTATCAAAATTGTAGCTAATCCTCTGTCTGAAGCAGTTAAGAAATCGTCACAAACTTTTAAAAGTGCAGTTGTACAGCTGTGCGCAGGACGAAATCCAGACTGGGTATTGGGCAAGATATTAAATAATTTTAAGTGTCCTCTTAATTGAGAATTTAAGCACTTTTCATAAATTTTGGACAAAATCGGTATAAGACTAATTGGTCGTAAATGGTTTAATTCAGTGGGATTATCTATTTTTGCTAAAGGTATAATAATTGACAGCTTCCAGACATCTGGGAAATAATTTTCTAATATGCAGCTATTTATTATGTTAGTTATATAGGGTAAAATGTGGGGACAACATAATCCTAACATTTCTTTGTTAATTTCATCACATCCCGCTGAATTTGAAGTAATTTCGTTTAAATATTTATAAATAGTATTAAGGGGAACAGTAACAAATTCAAATTTACTACCAAATTCACATTTTATGTTATTGTTATAATACTGAATTATTTTATTTGGTGGTGATTGCAAGGAAGAAACTGCATTAATAAATCCCTCGTTTAATTGATTAACATTTGAGAGAGTATCTGGAATATTGTTGTTCGATTTTTTGTTTATATTTAAATGATTAAAACTTTTCCACATTTGTTTACTAGACTTTTTGTAAAATAAGTTATTAAAAAATGATTTTTTTTTTCATTACGAACAGCTAAGTTACAGTAGTTTCTTAAGGATATGTAGGTCTCCCAGTCATTTATGTTTTTAGACTTTCTGTATTTGGTTTTTGCATTATTTTTAACTTTACTCAATTTCTTTATATTGTCGGTATACCATGGATCTTTATTTTTTGTTATTCTGGATGTGATAAGAGGAGCGTGAGTGTCAACGAGGTTTATTATTATCTTAGACAAATATGAAATTTTATCATCTATGTTTTTTATATGATAAATACAGTCTAAATCTGAAGTAAGTAGATGTTGTGTAAAAAGATCAAAATCAATATTAAAATCCCTATAAGTATACATGATATTATTTTTTTGTAGCTTAAAATCCAACTTACATTGAATTAAATCATGGTCAGAAAGATCACATGAAATGACTTCTTTGCTTTTAATAATTTTAATGTTTGTTACCTAAATATGATCAAATAAACTTGTTGATCTTTCAGTAACCCTTGTAGATTGGTTTATAATTTGAGTAAGTCCTAAAGAGTCCAAGAAATCAACATAATATTCTGTTACATTGGATTCTAAATTAAGAAGGGCAATATTTAAATCTCCCATCATGATTATGTTATCAGACATAGGAAGAATTTTTAGTAAAAGTAACGGCATTTTCTAGGTCTTCTTTGGAATAATTTGGCCCACTAGTTTTGGGAATATACTTTCTAGGCATCTAAAACAAATTTATTGACTAAAACTCACGTTTAAATTTACCCCAAAAGTCGATTTACATTTACCCCAACCACGCGTTTTCATTTACCCCCTACAAAGTAAACACTCTTTAAAAATTATTAAAGTAACATATCCAGTTTATAAGCATTATTTGGCACAGGTATTTGAAACCCTTCAAAAGATATTTTATAGTACTTACCTTTAGAATTAGATTTTCACCTGAATATTTACAACATAGCCACAAATGAAAAAAGAGGATTATTGTTATGGTGATAATAAGAACACAAAAAAAAACTGAAGACGCTTGCGTAAACACCTGTTTCTTTGTATAGTATGAGAGGAGGGGATGCTTGACAACTGCCAGAAGTAATAAGGATCTGGCGGCAAATTTAAAAAGATTATTTGTGGTGTTTACAATTACCTCTGTTTACATATACCCCTCTTGATATGTTTAACGAAATCCCTATTGAACTCTTTCTAAATATCATATTAGGTATATTATATCTATAACACCTATATCCACTGTAAATAAACTATGACAAATAACAACTTCACAGTCTTCAAAATCAACATGATCTTTTTTCTTAACAAAAATAAATGGTTAAATACATGAGAAATGTTTATTTACGAACTTGTTCCTATATTTGTAGTATTTCTACATAGTACATATGGTTACTATTTTCACAATACAAAATTTAAAACTAATTTAATACCAAAAAAATAAAAAAATGTTCAGATAATAATTAACTGTATTAAACATCACTTCACAAATAATAAGTCAAAGTCATAGAGAAACAAACTATGGTCAAAGTTTAATTGTCAAACAAAAATTTGCTGTTTTGTATTTACTCACAATTATTCAGGTATTTCCATGAACTTTTTGGTACCATTAAATATATACATATATGTA